ACAAATTTCCTTTGTTTGCGGACGTTGCATCAGCGCGAGGGACTCTGAACATTTACACAAAAAAAAATACAAACGTGTACGAGATATATTTTTTATAAAAAACATGCTTTGCCATTCGACGTGAAATTTTCCGACGGTATATTTTACTTTTTAAGTGATTTTTACATACTCGTTATATTTTCCGTTCAAATCCAGAAATATTTTCGTCATATTTTTTCGCTCTACTTCCGTTAAATGTTAAATCGAATGAAATTGCACACGGACATTTTTTTTCTTTTGATCTAGATTAGAGTCCCTCGTGCTCTGTTTCATCACGCGCGATATTTCACACACGCTTCGTGATGTGTCACTTACTTAAACGACATTTTGAAATGTTGCAGATGACGACGACGCCCAAGTGTCGGCGGTTTAAAGTGGTCCACGAATTTCGCCGAGAATTTCGGTTACCGTTTAGTTAATTTTGTCATATACCCCGTTTCTTTTTTACGCGGTCAAAAGAGAAATCGTTTCCTTGTGACGATGTGTATATGAGTATGTATGTGTGTGTGTGCGTGTGTGCGTGCGTGCGTGCGTGCGTGCGTGCGATCTATTACGGAAAGAGAACGCGGGGAAGAAAAACGCGCGACACACGCGATTAGATTTTTTCTCTCTGTAACCGTGAATGTAATCATTCGCATTCGTGTCGCATTCTAATCCAACGACCCGTTTAAAGACGTTCGTATGTTTGTCGACTGTCTTTCGAGTCCCTTTTGCTGCGTAGGGAATATTCATTTATATATATATATATATATTATATATATATATGTGTGTGTGTACTTTGTATACTGTGCGAGAGAGAAAACTGCGTTTATTCTTGTTTAAGCAGAGCGCTTGTGTCTTCCAAGAGTGCCCGCGACGACAAAAAATGTTGAAGATTTTGAACAACTGAGAATCTCAAGCGTGAAAGTATTCGTGCGACGCGTGTACCGTTTTATTCGGCACTGCGGAACAACAAACAAACAAAAATAATGACAAATAATAACTGACGAATGCCGGGTGAGAAGACGCGCAGTAGGAGAGAGTACTTTTCTTTTATTAGACTGAAGAGAGGCGCTTCTAAGAGCGATAGATGCGCTCACGTGAGCGCGCGTCACGGGATTTAAGAGACGGAGGGCGAGAAAGAGAGCGGTCGTAATTATTCTATATAAATGTGTAATAAAAATCGAGTCCAAAGATGTTATATATACTTCGTGTCGCCAGAAAACAAAAGAATACGGATGATGGCATGTCCTGTAATATATACTTGATAGACTAATATCTTTAATATCCCGTAGTAGCGTAAGTTGGTGTAAATAGCGTAGCGAGTTATATATATATATATATACATACACATATATATATATATATATATATATATATATATATATATATATATAGTATTTTAGGAGGAACACACAGGGGGATTACAAAGGAATGACACACAAAGAGACTCAGCGAGAAGTGTTTGAAGATCACGTGCAGTTGATTCTCGTTTAACGTTGATTGGCGTTCCACTGGTATTATACAGATGTAAGAAATTAAAACAAAAATTCGTCTCTTGTATATCGATAAGAAAAAAAAAAAAAATGATGACACTCGCAACTATTAAATTTTCGTCGTTATTCGCAAACCGGTTGATCCGTTTTTTTTTTTTTACAAGCGCGCTTGCTTTTAAAAATGTTTCCAATTACTAACATCCGGCTTTGAGATAGCGTTCGGATTTTACGAGATAAAAGTTTTATGTGTTTTTTCCGCCGAGTTTTTAAAGTTTTTTGATGTCGATGAGAGGTTAAACAAACGAAAAAAAAGTTTTTCTCGAAAAGAAGAGGATTATCATCGAGTCCGATCGAGTTAACAGGTTTTCACATTGCAGCGTGCGATCGTTTCCTCGTTCTCACACGTTACGCGGGATCGTATCTCGTTTCGTTTTCTTTGTGTGTGTGGAACACATGACAATTTTTAACTTGCAAGCAAGTTGTCGTTTCCTCGCGATTTCAGTTTTTTTTTTTTAGGTTTTCGATACTTCGTCCGGTATCGTCAGATTACATTCTTCGTTATTTTTATCGATACTTTGGTTTCTTTTTTTAGCTTTACTTGCAGCGTGCGAAAGAAATCTCTTCGGGTCGTCGCATCTCGTCGTAGAATTCGAGGGTAAAAAAGGGGGATAAAAAAAAAAAAGACAAAGGTTTTGCTATTTTACATGTCGATGTGAGAGAAGCGCGGTTTAACTTTATTATATCGTAGATTTATATATATATTCATGTATATTACATATTATATACACACACAGGCACATGCATGTGTACGAGTACATAGGTGCAGATATACGCTCTTGTCCACTCACACGAGACTTGAGTCCTTTTACGAGTATTATATTTAAAAAAAAAAAACGGAAAAAAAAACTGTGTAATTCGTGCGTGCACGACGAATGTGTTACGATACGCGTTCAGCAAAGAGGGCCTAAATTACTCGGGCACCGTTTTTGCGATTGCCAAGTCTGCGGAAAACGAAAGCGAGAGAGAGAGAAAGAGAGAGAGAGAGAGAGAGAGAGAGAGAGAGAGAGAGAGAGAGAGAGAGAGAGAAATAGAGAGAGTATGAAAGAGAGTGTGAATGTGTACGTAAGAAAGCAAGAGAAAGAAAGAGAGAGAGAGAGAGAGAGAGAGAGATTATTAAGTATCGAGGATCAACACAGTACTTTTATGGATGAGACTCAAATCTCTACCATTAATTACATTCCAATTACTTCGTCTTGCCGAATCTTTACATCCCTCGATATGCCTTCCACTTCCGTGTGACCATTTTTTTTAACAAAAGGAAAAAAAGAGAGGAAAATCAAGAGTCTCGAATTCAACAAAAAAAAACTGCCGTTAGTTGTTATACATTATTGTGTGTCATCACACTTGCAATTTTCGTTTGCATTAAAAAATGTTTCTTCTTTTTTACTATAAAAGACCAATCTCTCTCGAAGTCCACGAAGACTGTGTTACTCTTCGACGGTAGTGTCTAGCGAATCCTGAAAGATCGAGAGGAAGGATCGATCCCTCGGCTCGGTCTCTCGGGAAACGGAAATTCATTATATTATATTTACTGCATATATTCGTATATATATATATACACACATATATATATATACATATATATATATATATTATATCTCTTTGTACATATCCTAATACGACTTTTAAATATTAATATCCCACGTTTTTTCGAGGAGAAAGTTTTAAGTGTATTTACTGGTGTATTTAAGGTTCTCTTCGTAATGCAGCGTCAAAAACTAGAGAGCTAAAACTAGAAGAGTTTTCATTTTTCTTTCTTTCAAAACCGACGGATTCATTTTGTTTTTTTTTTCCTTTTTAATCATCATGTCTTCTTTCATCGCAATACATTTTTTGTGCATTTCGGGCGTTTAATTAACCAGGCTCTGTTTAATTCCACGTGCATTTATAATTTTTATCTGAGAGAAAACCGATGGGGATTTTATCGACTATTATCGAAAACACTTGTGCGCTCTCTCTTCATTTTTGCTGTCACATCGTTATCCTGTATTTTAAAACCGCTTTTTTTTTTGTAGGATTAAATACAGAGAAAGATCTAAATAAGAAAAAAAAAACGCTTTACGTTTTGTGTGACATTCGTGTGCGACGAAAATGTGTAAAATTTCGCAAAAACTGTCACGCGAGATACCTGAACTCTCGGAAAGGATGCAGGATTCTTGGTAGAAAATATATATTGAATATTTTACATGTTGTTTTAAGATATCCACACGCGCGCGTTAGATATGCGCGACGGGTACAAGTCTCGTATATTGTAAGAAGAGCCTGGACAAGATGGATAATTCGCGCTCTGTTCTTTTTTTTAGAGAACATTACGTTCGCAAGAAACAAGTACAATCGTCATATGGCGAGAATGGTTTGGAAAACAAAAAAGTTGACACCGCACACACCTTCTTTCGCTCGTCGTTTCTTTCTTTTTTTTTTTTTTTCTTAATTTATAATCACGTCTCGTTCTGTTGTTTTAATTATTTATAACCTCGAGATATTATATTCGTCTACATAACGCGGACAAGCAAGCAACAGAAAATTTATCTTTTGTATTTAATTTGTTTAATAAAACTTGTGAATCATAATTACAATGTCTCCCCCACCCCCCGCCCCGCCTTTTTCAGTTTTTCACTTCGTTCGTTCGTTTTTATCCTGTCCTCGTAAACGAGAATTTATTTATTGTAACGATTTACAGTACAAAAGCAAACTAACACTCCCTTCGGTCAAAATTCTTGCGAAGGTACAGTAGTTTCTCGTAATCTGTCATCAATGTTTATGCGAAAATCAAGAGCAAAGCAAGACCGTGAGCGTGAAGGTGAAAAATGGCAAATTGACATCCAAGAGCGAGAAACTACTGCACGTATATGTGTGTGTACAGGCTACAACCGCGAAGTGACTCTGTCGCACGAAACATTTGAGAGAAGAAAAAATTGCGGAAGGAAGAACGTCTGTATTTATAAATAAACAAATTTTTATTTTTGCCCTTGTATACAAAAAGACGCTCGCGCGTGAAGAAATTTAGACGTTCTTTCTCTTTGGCGCTTTGAACTGATTTCGCGATAATTTTGAGATTAGATTTTTTTTTCTCAGACCGATTGTTGTCCAACTTCGACAAAACGAAAAAAAAAAAAAAAAAAAAAACGCGCGTCACTTCGCGCCCTGTATTACGTTTCTGTACATACGTACATAGAGAGAACCGACTATCGTTATTAAGTTTCGTATTTTATTTCCATTAACAAACCGCTACGTACGGTATTTTAATGATAATAATAATATAATAATAATAATAATAATAATAATCATGACATCGAATACTTAAATCGATCGGTTTTCTTTACGCATTCATATTAGAAAACAAAAAAAAAAAACAACACGAAAGAACCTTTTGGGAGAGATACAAAGGACCACAAAAGAACATTTAATTTCTCCCAAGTCGCGAGATTTGTGTTTGTTCGTAGAAAATTGTCGCGCACAATCCGGAAGAGAGAATAAACGCGGGAGAGAGTAAATCTCGATGATTGCAATCACGGGACCGTGCGTAGCGAGTTATCCGTTGGAACGAAATCGTATAGGTGATACTATTACTATTTTGTACGATACGATGTTTTATATAATATATATATATAATATATATATCTGTCTACCGTGCGCGTGATAGAGATGCGGAGTCTATACCGAGATTTATCATATAAGTAGTATGTAAAAAAAAAAAAAAAAACCAACAACACTATAACGAAAACGCGTATTTAAGATTATTATCATTTGTAGACTTGTGCGACTCAGCTGTGCACCTTCCCTCCCCAAGCGAAGGGAGGTTTCGCTCTCGCATAGGTGTTAATAATCCCATTTAATGTGTACACCTGTAAATCCCTCCCAGCAAACAATATATGAACAATTAAAGGATTGGTAAGGAAGCAGTGGACAATTTTTTATTTACGACCACCTTCATACGATAAAAACAAAAACCAAGTGTTTTTGTAAAGGAAGCGAACTTTAATTTACGGACCGTTGGCGATAATTGGACGCAATTAAAAAAAAAAAAAAAAAGAACGTCGAGAAAATAATTCGGAAGAAAATTTAAAAAAAGAAGATTAATGACGATTCTCTCGTGTTCGACGTTCAGCGGCGAAGAAGGACGTTCTGCCTCGCGTTCCCGCGCGACCACATGGCAGCGGTTGACGAGCACCTGTTGCTTTAGACAGGAACCAACTGACAGTCGGAGGGGGTTACTCGGCTCAGTTGCGCGTAAAATTGTGCCTTCGGTGCACGCCGTCTGTAACGTTTCTCCGCCTGCGAAATGCATTTCGTCCTGCCAACGATCATTTTATTTGTGAAACCGGATACTTCATCAACCACGATTTCTTCTTCGAAATTACATTCTAAAGTACTTTCATTTTGCAAACTCAAGCTTTTGTAAATCAAGAGTCAGATAATCACGCGTTTTTAGAAAAAAACAAATTGTGGTTTTTTTGTTTTTAATTAAAAAGCTTTCGAACAAAATATTGCAGAACTTTTTTTCCAAATTACTTGGATTTTCATGATGAACACGAGGAAAATCAGACGAGGGAACCACCGATCTCTCGATGGACATCACCACAAGGGCATCACAGATCCCTCGCTCGTGTATCCCTTCCGCGGCGGATTTCGCTCTGCAGCACTCCTACCATCGTTTCGCCATTTCCCTCTCTCTGCGGCGAACCGATGCACGATGCAGGGGAGAAAGAAACGCCGCCTTCCGACCGGCACGTAGTTGTTCGAAAACCGCTCTTACCTTCGCCGTGTGTGCGCTCACGGTTTATCGTTCCGCGCGTTTTATCCTCGAAAAAGAGAGAGAAAGAGAGTTCGCCCACGGTTCGCTCTCGGTATTACGTCCAAGTTTTCCGGTATTTTCCAAAACAAAAACCGTTTTCGACAATGTTCCCGCGAACATGCGCGCCGTAGCCGATCGTCGCGCGCGAAAGATCGGCGATCGATGCTCGGATCGTTGAGCGCCGTCGCGCTTTGTTTCCGAACGGAAAACCGATTTCGCGTAGTATAAGTAGTTTATACACGAGAGATTTAAAGTGTGTGTTCGCGCGATAGTAAAACGTGCTGTGAATGTGCGCACGAAGATCGAAACGCATCGTTGATAGCGCGCGTTAATCGACTCGCGCGCACTTCGCGATCGATGGATCGTGTCGGAGAATCGATTTCATAAGTAACTTGCGACGCTTGTTGAAGCTTGCGCGCTATCGGGAAATTGTCGGAAAAAAAAAAAAAAAAACTGACTGTTCGTGTTCGCGCTCCACGTGCGCGCATTTGAGATCGGCGAGATCTCTTACGGGGACAGAAAGAGATAGAGAGAGAGAGAGAGAGAAGCACAAGTACTCTCCTCTCATCGTTCTCGATTGCACTTATCTCTCGGTAGAAGAGTTACGCACACGTTATACACGCTCCGTGGATTATTAAGTGTTCACAACTGACGTGAATGCGTCGTAATCGAATCTCATCATCCGGCGGGGCACCTTCGACGAAACGCAATCTCTCTCTCCGCTTTAATCTCCGTGAATGATTCGACAGAGGACGAGAAGCGTCTCGCTCACGACATCCACAGATCCGCTTACGCGGTAATCTTCCGTCATCGAGAGGATTTCCGACACTCCGTTGCGGAATGATTTTCTCATGACGATCACCCGTTCCGAACAATTCGAGAAAAAGACTCTAGACGAATGTCACGTGCGATCGAACAGAGCAGCGAGAAGAAGAAGATATCTCGCGGAACGTAATCTCGTTTTGTTTTGAGATTCGCGCGTGATTTTTCTCCAATCGCGTCGACAATACGCGCGATCTTTTTTTTGATAATCAAGCGAAGAAGAAGAAGAAGAAGCGAGAAAGGATTTTCCGCGCGCGCGCGCGCGCGTGTGTGTGAACTTTCGTTGATTGTCGAGGGAATTGGCTTCCGACGTGAATCATCGAGGCCGCCGGTTGCGCGGGTCAGGGACGAGGAAGAAGGTGGATCCGCGTTCGGCTTCAGGTCGATGCACGTACGTACGTACGTACGTACGTACGCGCGCGGAGAGGAGGTCTGGATTTACGCGCCATTTACCGCGACAAACAGAGGCTTCGGACACACGCTCGGATGCGGAGCGTCGCGTCGCCGTCACGTCGCGCTCGCCGTATCTTCGTTCGTGCCGAACGATAACGTTTTTCGCATCGCACGCGATAACGACGTTTATCGCGCGTAGTCCCGATCGGGCAATTTATCGAACGCGATCTCCGGCGAACGATTACTCCGCGTCGATCCCCCGAGTCACGATCGCGAATTTTTTTTTTTTTGTTTTTTTTGTTTTTTTACCCGCGGGTAACGAAAAATATACGAGACGCGCGCGCGCTCTTTGCCGTTCTTTGTCGCGCTTTTTTGAAAAAGGGAATCAGTCGCGCGTGTAAATAGAACACACGTGGTGTGTATACGTGTGCGTTCTCTTCGAGCGCGATATAATAACAGATTGCGTCAACAAAAATCCGTGAATCATCCGCGCAAACATCCACGTAGTGTAGATAAACGAGCTGTCGGAGAGAGACGCGCGAGGTCTCGGAAAAGTCTCGAGACTTCGAAAGACCAGAAAGTCCAATGCGCGATCTCTTTAACGGACTCCTCGCGACGTTCGAGTGACCACACATAGACAGAAGGATATATGTATGTTTGTGATTCTTCTTTGCTTAGACAATACGTGCTTTGTATACAGAAGTAATTAGAAGATCATTAGGGTGTGACATAAAACACGGAGTATCCCGTGGACAAGACAGAGAGAGAGAGAGAGAGAGAGACAGAGAGATAGAATCGCTCCCGAAGATACCTTTATTATCTATTGAACAGCGCGATAACGTCGCGCGCACGTCAAACTGACAGATCATTGTCGATTGCTTGCACGAGCGAGCTTATTAAAGCGCGCGGAGGTTCGTTAAAACGGTATCCCGTCGATTAGACGCTGCTCGCGCGGCGTCTCCGCTTTCTCTCGGATCTTCTTCTTTGTGGAGCTGCTCCTTCGGTCACGCGCGTCGAGTTCTCAAAAGAACGACGATACAAAAGCGGACGGGATATCGGAGCGAAGGAAGTATAACCGGAGAGAGGTGCGACACGCGAGACCGATTCGACGCGCGTCTCATTCTGTGTTTTGAAGCGTTTCTTCGCGCTGGTGAATGGTGATCGTCCTCGTCGAGAATAAGATCTCTTTCTCGAGAGAAGGAAACTCGAAATAGCCGACGGCGAACTAATCTCGTCGCCGTTTCGGACAACGCGAGCGAAAGGACGTTCGACGACGAGGAGAAGGAGGAGAAGGAGGAGGAGGATTTTTATCGTCTCGCGATTCCGCGTCGACGATTTGAGGAAAAATCGTCGTCGTCAGGTCAGTAAACAGATATTCCGCATATTTTTGCGATGTACATTGCGGATGCTTGCGCGCACAGATCTTCCCTCGCTGACTCGACTTGTGTTTACGTTGCTGTTTCCAAAAGCAAACAGCTCGACGCTTACCTGTGCGGTTTATATAATGCGGTGTGTATTTTGACAAGTTGCTCAGTTGTTGTTTGAAAACATATTCTCGATTGAGAAACAATTTATTACAGTCTGTTTTATATAAACAATTATTTTTACATATATATATATATATATATAAAACTAACACAAACGTGTTAGTTTTAGTTTTCTTGTTATCTCAGGTGTTGTTGTTCGTTAGAATTTATCACAGATTGTGCGCTGCGATAAACTGAGAGATATCGTGTACAATAATTTATTTTGCGCGACGAAACTCGTTTAACGATAACCGTAATAATTAGTCATCCCGATGTAATTTGTCATCATCCATTGTGGTAGGTCACTTTTGTGTTTTTCAAGATTTAACGCAAAAGAAAAAAAAACAAACATCATTAGATTTAATTAATGTACGAAATAAAATTGTGTTATATTTTCGATTGGTTATATAGTACGTCGCGAAACAATCATACTTTCTCAATGAGATCAATTTCAAACAAATCAATTTTCGCGAGAACGTGCGGGAGATCAAGCGCGAAACTCGCGAATTTCACTCTCCGACAAGTTCGCGAAAACGAAGCTGCTTGCGCGGGCATTGTGTGTCGTGCCGAGGAACCTCGCGGAATCGCAGCCAAGAATCGCGCTCGCTCGTTACGGACGTTAAAATCCCGGTTCGCGAGACCTACCTAATGGCCCGTTCGTTCGTAAAACGCGAAACTTTCGATCGTTATTTCCGCATCAGTCGGTCGGGTAATCTCTCCGCGTCTGGCCCATAAATATCCGTCCGCGCGCGAATTACCGGAGACGCGCGCTCATTTCTCGCGCGCGACGAAAATCACGTTCGTCGCGAGTGTCCTTTAACTTTCTCTCTCTATAGCCGATCGAGCGATGAGCGACGTCCTTTATTTGATGTTTATATTCCCGTCGTTCGTCGTCGTCATCATCATCATCATCATCATCATCGTCGTCATCACCACATCATCGGTTTCACTTTTCTTTCCGTCAGCTGAGCGAACCGCGAGTGTATTTTCCCATGTAAAACACGGACGGATCGCTTCTGAGCTCGACATATACGCCTTTCCATTCTGACTCGTGCAGGAAGATTGCATAAATTAAAGCGCTATTAGCGTAGACGAAATTTATTCCCGGTACATTGGAAAGCATAGAAAGTCCTTCCCTTCGTTCTTATCAGATCTGATATATTCTTTTGGTTTGCATGTTACGCACATGTAACGACGCGTTGCATCGCGATGAACGTTGCGAGAAACGTCTCTTTCTCGTTCGGCGAGAGGTCGAAGTCGCCACGTGACTGCTAATCACGAGAGATGATAATCACGGTGGAGAAAGTAATGACGGGAACGAGTACAATGCAACCGGGAGCGGGGGGGGGGGAAGAGCAATTATCGCCGCGTTACTCGCGTTAATCGTAACAGCGGTATCGAACCGCATCGCGCGCGTTATTACGTAAAAAAGTAATTAACGACCGTTACACGGACGTTTGAACTCCGTGCCGAGAGAACCGATCTTGGCTTGGTTAAAAAAAATATCGCGTTCCTCTAAACTTGTAGCCGAACCGCTCATCGCGCATTCAGCGATTTCATCGTTAACGGCACTTTTCAACGCTTTGTTCGCCGAAACGTTAGTTTTCGCGTGCGGCTGTGTAACGTTAACGGCGTAGCGCGCGCATTCTCCGATGCCTCGAGCGCGATATGCGGAATCGGCGCCTCGAAATCATTGCTGTTGCTCATCGTCGCGTGTTAGCTCATCGCACCCGTGAAGATCGAGGGCAGCGCGCGGTTCGAATCTGAAATTAAAACGACGAGACTTCGCGCGCGAGCTCGAAAGAAAAGCAAAGAAAAAAGTCACATGCAAATCGCCGTGTCGCGAATTGAAATTCCGCGAGCACCCGGTACGTGAGTGGAAGTACTTACTGCACAGAGGAGAAAGCGTTTTTCACAGTGTGGGATCTCGTTCGCGGCCCTTGAACTTGCTCGCGCGCGCTCTCCGCGCTCGAATCTTCGACTCGCGGGGAAGCTGCGCGGACAGACAAGTATTGATGCAGAGGTTTATCAAACCGACGAAAGATCGACGCGTGCGCGAATTTTACTGTCAGTGTGTCTTTATTTTCAGCCAAGTAATAAACGATATATTTTCTATGCGCGATATTTTATTTGCGACGTATAAACAAAATTAATATTTAAAAAATTCAATTTCCAGGAGACGCGCGGCAGATGCGGCGCTTTAATATTTGAAACATAATAAATATTTTAACATTGAGAAAAAAGAAGCAAAGAGAGTTGCAAAGTAGCGTCTTACATGAATTTTAGAATTCGTGTTTTATTAAATTCGAATTTTCTGCGGTGTAAGTTAATTTACCTAAATGTATTTCGCACATACTTGACACAGAGCCGTATATTTATTTATTGTACTTTAACATTACAACACAATAAATATTTGAACACACGATCGTCCGCGTTTGGATAATCCTCCAGTGACCCTTTGACCTGAATCTTTTTTTAATACTAGCACAACACAGGCGCGTGCTGCGCGCACGCTACTATTATTTTTATTTTAATCACGTGACCAAGGTCAATGACCTTAGCGTAGTCACGTGGCCAAGGTCAATGACCTTACCATAGTTACGTGATCAAGGTTAGTGACCTTACCGTAGTATATATATAATACATATAATACAATATAAAGTATAATATTATTAAATTTATAATAAATTATATACATAATATATAGTATATAATATTATATATAATATTAGTATATATATTATATTATATATTATATATATTTATAGTCACGTGACTGTAGTCACGTGATCACTGACTGTGTTTTTCCTTTCTTCTCTGTCACGTGATTTTAAAAAACGCAAGAATACTTAGTGTTTTTTAGAATTTTTAGTGTTTTGTTTTAAAGCGATTTAGACTAAAACAAAAGTAATTGATTCAGTCGTTCTCGAGATATTGCTTCATGAAAATCTTCTCACTTCTCAATCATCGCACAAATTTCGCGTATAAGAGGCACTTGCCGTGCGTCTTGATATGTACGACATCGAGAAACACATCCTAAGAAACGTCCAATCAGCGTCGAGATAAAAGTGGCAACAGTCAATATTGAAAGAATCGATTGTGATTATTTACACTTTGTTTTTTCTGATATAAGATTTTACTCTATCTCAATAAGATTCTAAAAACCTTTCTCATCGAACGTGTTTAAATATCCTTCCTCGTTTTTGTCGAGGAGAGAAAACATCGTCTTAGTATATCATTTTAATACGCGCGCATTATATTTATACGCGTATTAGCGAGATCGAGTTTCGCTCGAGTAACAGGCTTGGGCTTCGCGACTGACATGTAATCGCGCGTAAGTCAATTCTCGATGACGCTCACGTTAGCGACGATATTACTTCACACACCACTTTATTTTATCGCACTGTTGGTACTGCACGCGCTCCCGACGTTCGCGTCAACGTTCGTTCTCGCGGATCGTCACGTTGCGTAAAATTCGCGCTTGGTTGTTGGACGCGACCACCCGTTAGAGACGAACGGGACGATCGCGCGCCATAAAGTATCGCCGCGGAAATTCTTCACGGCACCTGTCGATCGTCCGCTCATTTTCCCTTCAACCGCAACTTCGCTCCGCTCACTCTTACTCGTTCTCTTTCAATCTCTCTTTTCCCCTTTCTCTTCTCTTCGTTTCTGTCCTACTCGCTTTTATCCTCTCGTACGTTTGCCTAACGGTCCCGATCTTTTGTCACCTTTTATTCTCCTCTCTTCTGGCCGCACATTTATTTTCTTCACACGTCGTGACATAAGCTTTTTGCTTTCGATCGTCTTCCGTCTCTTCGGTTGGCGTGACTCCTATTCACATTTTATATAATTTATCCTTTTACACAAACGCGCAATTTCGCGTGTATTCTCAATTTTGCATTTTCTACACGCTCATTTTCACGGCTTTTTTATTCTTTTAAGTCTTCTGCTTTCTTTACAATATCGTTACGCTTGTCTTTTTGTGAGTGTGTCTTTTTTTGTTTTTTTTTTATTTTGGTTGTTGATACTCGTGAGGTAATTGAACTGTAGTTCGGTAACCTGCAGTCAGCGATCCACGAGATACTTGTTTGATTGTTCAAATTGTTAAAATTTGTCACTTTTTTTTTTACTTGACTGAGTGTAACAAGATTAATTTGGATCTTCTGCGCGGCGACATTGTTTCACAATCTTTCAGTTGGTCTTGAAAAAAAAATCTCGGAAAAAACAAAAACAAATTGACAAGTCTTTGAAGTGTCGCTGTGCGTTTTATTTCCTAACGCGCGTTTTTCGTTCTAATGCAATTTAATCTTTCACGTTTTTTCCTCTTCTTAGCACGCGCTTTCTAATCTCCTTCTGCAACCTGCTCGCGACTGCGCGCGCTCGCGTCGTATTTCGCAATATCGCGATATCCGCACACGTCTGTTCTAATGTAGGTTACGATTGGTCAATATCGGACGATAGCACGCGACCAGGAGATAACGACCCACCACCATTCTATTCTTCGCCGCGTTATTTCCATAATGTGAGCGTCAATTTTGCAATACGCGCTCGTTACGCACCTGTTTTGTGCGATACAAACAACGACGCGCGCGCGCGCGCGCGGTCCCGTCTATAACGGGATTATCATTTTTATCGATGCGATTTAATGATACAGATATTGCGCGCGCGCGGAGACGACGAACTCTAGCTATCTTCCGAAGCTAGTCCGGTGCGTTTCCAACGCCATTGTACGCCAAACGCAAAGGTAAATGAGCTTTTGCGGACCAATAAACGTCACGTCGACGAAAATGGACAGGCGAATCATGAAAAAAAAAAAAAAAACAACATATCGTCA